TTCATCATTACCTCTTGACATGAGTAAAACATTCAAGACTCAATATTACCACGAAAAGACTTTAAAATTTACTTTGTTACTATGAAAATTAAATCCTTTATCAATTTAGGATTCCATAATTTTTTACAAATTCAGTATACCGGTTTCATTTATACGATGTCACTCATACATATGTAAGTAACACTATTTGTTTACATTATTGATAATTTACCCTCATAACCTCGAAATATATTTAAGTTTTCTTCACATAATCATAAAATTCACAATTAAATCTCAAATCTAATTGATATATAGCACTAATGTTTAGGATTTTTATAATCTTCATTAACTTATTTCACAATAAAATTCTAAAATCGACAAAATTATGATAACATAACTTTTCTTTTAATAAAATTAGATGTCATAATATGAAGTAACACTTATTTTACATTATGAAGATTTACCCTATAAATCGACAAAGATATATTCTAAGTTTCTTCACATAATTCATAAAAATTTCACAATTAAATTCTAAAATATAATTTTTTTTTAATGTAATCACCATTAAATAGCGAGAAAATACAAGAATTGAATAGAAAACTAATTTTTGGAGGATATTTACTCAAATGTCGAAATCCGGCGAAGTTGGCAGGTTCGGCGGTCGAATCAAGGGACCGAGCGTCGGGGAAACGAGGCTAGCGGTCGAAGTCAAGGCGGCATCGATTTGGGGCTGGGGTCGGAATGATGGGACGGCGGCGGAAGAAGGTTAGGCGTTTGGGGGCTGGTTGCGGGGGAGAGAGAACTGACGGTGGGAGGTCTGCGCTCCGGTTTATAGGCCGCAAGTTCACGGAGTCAACTCCCGTGAAAGCTGCAGCGGTAAAATCCCCAGGAGTACTCGCTAGAAAATCTGCCTCCAGTTTCACGTGAGTTCAGGTAAGAATCCCAGCGAGTAGCGAGCGCTGGAAAATCTGGCCTCCATCTTCACGGGATTGAACTCCCGGTGAAGCTGCAGGCTAATTTTTCCAGCGAAATACTCGCTGGGATTTCCTAACTCACGGAGTTCAACTCCCGTGAGTAAATGGGGGGGTTAATTAATGTAAATAAACTTCTACGGGAGTTCAACTCCGGTGAGTTTAAAAGTATGCTAAACTTCTAACGGGAGTTGAACTCCCGTGAAGTTTCGTAAAATTTTTAGAAAACACGACCTGTTTCACGCGACTAGTGCTGAAACCAGGTCAGTTTTTCTAATAACTATAGAAACAGTCGTTTTTTGAACTTAAATCAAAATGGTTGTTGAAAATTTGCGTTCTATTTTCTCAAGATCCTAACACGTGCAGCCTCAAACCTTTAAAAAGAACACGTGATCTAACGAGTTGTAAATCTACTTCCAAAACCTCCCACTACTTCGCTCCCTCTCGAGTCCGTCCTCCGCTCCAGAGAACCCAGACGCTCCAAGCAATGAGAAGTAGCGTGTGTGTCCGCGGTAGGGCTCGCGCCCGCCATCCTAGTCGAGATGCTATTCAAAATCTGACGAACATGTTGGTCCGTCCCGATCTGGCTCCCAACATAAGCTTCTCGATCCAGCCGAGGATGTGGGCCCCGTCGGCGAGGCTCTCCGCTCCGGGCGCGCTATTTACGTGTCTGCCGATCTCCGCAAGAGAGACGAAGTCGTTAAAGGTTGGATCCTGAGCCCAATTGTTTCTTTAATTTTGTTTTATCTTCAATTATTTGTGGATAGATTCGATTAGGGAAAGGGGAGTACTTCTTAATTTTAGTGAATTTTTCTGTAGCGATCAAAGTTTAGTTTCTTTTCCTTATGATTTTGTCCACGAAGAGTATGATACTGTTAAGTTCAGCTAGATTGTATCTCAAAATATTAAAAAGGAGAGATTTTTTACATTTAATTAAGGTCAAATACTTGATTTTCAGTTGTAAACCTCAACGATTAAGGAAGATAGAGCTGGTTTCCAACCAAAAGTACTAGAAGCTCAGATTCTTTTTTGTTAATGAAGAAGGCGAAATAATCAAAGTTAGTTTCTTTCTTTCTTTTTTTCTTGTAGCTATCAAGATTTACTCTTTCAACTACTGCTATTCAACCTTAATTATCAATATTTATATATTTTGTTTAAGAACTCCAAAGATGTAGAGTAATCAATTACCACGGATGGTGCACAAGATTTTAACGGTAAATTTTATCAAGCTTAAAAAATCGTCATAGGCATACATGTCTTGTTATAGTAGCTCGGGTTGATGATAATGATATAGAGTGAGCTTGTTTAGGAATTTTTTTTTCTGAAACAAGAATTGTTTAGGAGATATCACTACTTTTAATTTCATCGTTGATTGTTTAATTAATGGATAGTTGTGTACATTTGTGATTCATTCCAAACATAACACTTACCACACACCCATGCATTACACTCGTTCCTATTTTGTAATCAAGAAAACAGACCACAATGATTTATTAAGCAATCAACGGGTTGATTTAAAAGCAGTGGCATTTCCATTAATTTTTAGTAGTAGAGAGGATCCTAATCCATTGGATTAGCCATATGTTCATGTATAGCCTAATTTGACTGCATGTAGTTGTATGATTCAAGAAAAGCCTGAAACTGAGCTTATGTGAGGCCACATAGCAATTTAGTATTATTTTCAAATTGTGGTCATCTTGGTATTTGTAGCTCAAACTTAAATTTAACTTGTTTTGAACCACATTTAAACTTATAATTAGATGTTCATTTGACTTTCCAACTTGTCTCAATGGGTTTAAGAGATGGGTGTTGTAGTTGATTGTACTTAAGAAGAAGAAAGAAGAGTTCTAAACATTAAACCTGACAAAAGGCATTGTTTTGATGTTGTTCATACTGGTTTTAATGCCAAGGGAATTTAAAGTTTCATTAGTTTGAACTGCGAGAATCCGACAGGTACATGAAATTGAATGCATTAATTTTTTTTGTTAGATATATTTGTTAGTTGTCTCTGTGGTCGTAATTTTAATTTGTTGTTCCAAATCCATGTTGAAAGTCATGAATATTTTACTACGTTCTTATGTAAAAAAATTCTTAGAATATTAGGTCAGGTAATCTATAACGGCCTGTTTGGCAGCTCACAAACTAACAAGAATAGAACTCACTTGGTTTAAGGGCTTCAAAATGTGTTTGGCCAAAACGTGTACAAGATTGGACTAATTTTTTAGTTCGAAAAAATATACTCTTAGTTCAAAAAAGAGGCTCTTAACTAGGATAACTTTGGACCACCCCTGCCTTGGTTCAATCCTAATCCAATTAAAGTCTTAACTAAATTAGTGTGAAGTTGCCAAACACACCCTAAGTGTCTGGAAGAGTTTGAGAAGATGCCTGTGTTGTGCTTACACTCCCCTCCAGGTTAGTGATATTTTGTGCCTTTATATATATATACTTAATATATATATATATATAATATAATATATAATATGTATATTAGATATATAATATAGTAAAAATTCTATATCAAACTTAAGTTGATGTACAAACTTCCATAGCCACTCATTTGATTACATTAAAAAACCTTTATCGATATCATGCAGGCCACCAAAAGGGAAAATTCCCATAGGCAATATGAAAAAGGTGGCTAAAAAGTTTAGTGGAGCAACTTTTGCCTATCCACTATATAGTTGCACAAAGTTTTGGGCTCTCTAAATATCTATATATAATTATATATATATAAATATATTATATATATACTAAGATGCTTATAGGACCTAAATAGATTAGGACTCCTACATTGATTTTGAATTTTGGAACTTATATTGTTGCTACTTCATCAAGAATTATGAGTTATGCATCCATTTGAAGATTGTTTTCCACTAATTAGGAAGACTTTAGGCTAGGTTAGGTCATTAGTTTTCCTTTACATCTTTTGAAGTGTTTACTCAGTTTATCATATTGGTGAGTTTAATGAGTAAATAAGTCTAGGTTCCTTTTGATGTATATATGGGGTATAATATTTTGGATGGTTTTGGAGAAGTAGTTGATTTTTGAAACAGTCAGTTATTTCCAGTTCAATCTTTTTTACTTTGTAGAAAGTTTGGAATTCGTGGCTTGTGATTCTTGCTTTGCTTGAATCCTATTCTTTCTTTTGTATTTAATTAAAAGCAATATTCTGAATTGTTGGTTTTAGTACTTAGTAGTTCAATGCCTTTTCAAATGAAAGTGCTTGTAACGATCTTAAAACATGATTACAGTTATATCCAAAAGGCTGTTTCAAATGTCTTAGCTTCATTAATATCCCTGGTGTTACGATGGCAAATTATATTGTAACCTAGTTAATTAATTATTACTTAAAGAGAACATCATGCTTCTATGTTTAGCACATTGTTTTAGCTTACCATTATTAACTATACTTCCATAACCCTATTTATCACAGCATTTGAAGGAGCATAGGTTGTCTTCCGTGTTTAGCACATTGTTTTAGAACATCACGCTTCTGAGTTTAGCCCATTGCTTTACTTTACCAGTATTAACTATATAATTTCCATAACCCCCTTTATCACAGCATTTGAAGGAGCAGAGGTTGTCTTCCACATGGCTGCTCCTGATTCATCCATCAATAACTATCAGCTTCATTATTCAGTCAACGTAGAAGGTTAGATTCTCAAAGTTCTCTGTATCTCATTTTTATCATGAGCCATCTAGATGACAAAAGTTCTACCTAAGCATAATGCTTAATTTCATATATTTACAGGAACAAAAAATGTTATCGATGCTTGCATAGAATGTAAAGTCAAAAGGCTTATTTACACAAGTTCGCCTAGTGTCGTCTTTGATGGTGTTCATGGAATTTTTGATGGAATGGAAACAATGTCTTACCCAGAGAAGGTAATTGTATTGATATTTCTTAGCCAGTCAAAGGCAATGTTAATAATCTATATATCACATATTGAGGTTAGGTTGTAATCTGATTTTTTTTTTTTTACCTCCAGTTCAATGATTCTTATTCGGAGACTAAAGCAGAAGGTGAAAAGTTGGTATTAAAGGCAAATGGTAAAGATGGACTCCTCACTTGTTGCATTCGTCCTAGTAGTATATTTGGTCCTGGCGATAGGCTTTTGGTACCGTCACTGGCTTCTGCTGCAAAGGCTGGGAAATCTAAGGTAATGCACATCAATTTGCATCTTAATACTTGCATTCAGGTCCTAAATTATCCCCTTCAGTTTGTACCGGCTGACATGATAATGTGTTTGTTATTGTTCGCTTCTCTTGTTCAGCCTGTTCTATTTAGAAAATTTATAGCGCAGTCACCTTAAGCATTGTGTTTGATATGCAGGAAGCGTCCTTCGTGTAGTTTATTTCTAATGCTTTATGTTAATGCCCATTAAGTGTTTTTCTAATTGGGAGTGTGATTCTGTTTGACTGCTTTGACGATGTGTGCCATGAAGTTGAGTATTTCATGTTCATGGGACTGGGGAGGCATATTCTGAATTCTTATGTGAATCAAGGCGCTTGAAATTTTGGTTTTCATTAGCAAAAAACTTCCTGTATTGAACGAACCATTTTGTTGAAGGCAATTTTTGTGCTGCTTACATTAAATATAAAAATGATGTTCCTGAAACATTTATTTGTTTATTCAGTGTGATTATGTGAAGGCCTACTGCAAAGAAAGATTATGCCTTGTAGGATGTAATGAAGGTTGCTCATGTAAATTTGTACAGTTCGTAGTTGCCTAACTGCAATATGATGATGTTTCTTAAGAATATTTTAACTACTTCAATGTTGATAGAGATACAAAAACATATGAGATTTAGCAGTTTTGTGATATTTGACCTTTCTAACTTTTCTCTCTCTAATTTTACTTGTATGTTTATTCCTACTTCCATGGAAATTTATTGAATGAAGTACCTTAGTATTTGAGGAGTAACGCACAAATTGCTTCTCTGCTACTATCCTTCTGCCCACAGCTGCACCTTATTAATACTTGAATCATATTTAAGGTCGCTTATTCTCAATCCCCACTGAGTCTGCTAGATAATTCATCATTCTGTTAGCAATTTTGGTTGTTTATTACCACAGTTCATGGTTAGATAACATATATGGAGTATGAGCAAGTATGTTGGTATCTTTTATCAGGAAACTAGTTGAGAATAGAGACTTATTCTATTTCCACTTTTTCCCACTGTTGTGGAATACTGATGGTATCAGTACATTATTGGTGATGGCAACAATTTGTATGACTTCACATATGTGGAAAATGTGGCATATGGCCATGTCTGTGCAGAGCGAACTCTAGCAGCTGGTGGCCCTCGTGCAGAGAAAGCAGCTGGACAGGTATTTTGGCTTGGTTGTCAATGTTATTCCTTTTATGATGGTAAGCTTGACATTTTTTCTAACTTATGATAGCTTAATATGATGCGTACATGCAGGCTTATTTCATTACAAATAATGAACCGATAAAGTTTTGGGAGTTTGTCTCACTTATTGTTGAAGGCCTTGGATATGAAAGGTGCACATAACATCCATGCTCATGCAAATTTGCTGTTCTAATTTGGAAATTTGTATTATGCTCTTGGCTGCACCTGTTCTCAGAGTGGCTATAGTAAATCAAGTAATATTTTGTCTTATACCAAAAGAAGCTGATGTTTAGTTTAGCTTCTATGCCTCAAGAGTCATACATCGAATATTCTAGAGGGTAACTTGTTCCACTAAAGCCTATATACAATTAAAATTTTAGTAACTGTTGGGAAACTTTTTAGTTAAACAGCAATTTGAAAATTGAGAATCTTGGAAAAGTTGCAGTCCTCATATTTTTTTTCTTCTCTGAACTTTGCATAATCCATGTGTTTTTTCCCCGAATTATATCTTCAGGTAATTCATATGCATATTATAATAAAAGAACTTAATAGCTGTTCTGCTCATAATTCTTCCAATAAATTCAGTTCTTGCATAGGAAAATTTTTCTTTTTATGTTACTTAAAAAGTGCAAGGGTGGTTAGCTGGAAAATTCATAATCTGAAATATTATCTATCAATTCAAAATGTAACGCTGCCATCAGCGTGTTTCATTCTTTGAATTTATTTTATTTGCAGGCCAAGCATACACATTCCAGTCTCTGTTATGATGCCTATAGCCCATTTAGTAGAGCTAACCTATAAGGTCTTCTCTCGATATGGGATGCGTGTGCCCCAGCTAACACCTTCCAGAATTAGACTTCTCTCATGTAACAGAACTTTCAGTTGTACTAAAGCCAGGGTTCAGCTAGATTATGAACCTATTGTACCACTCAAGGTTTCGTCTCTATAAAACTCTTCATCTTTTTTAGCCTCAAGCATAGAGCTTCGATTTTTCTACCATGATTGCTCTGAGATTTTTTATGTAATTGTAGGAAGGTCTGAAGAGGACAATTGATTCGTACTCACACTTGAGAGCTGTCCCTCGAAGTGGCACATCTAAAGCTTCTGTCATTCTTGGGAGTGGAAAAGGTAAGGATGTTAAGGGTTTATGTCATTGGTAAATACAGAAAAATCCCCTAAATTTTGCGTGATTGACAGAAAACCCCCTATTGTTTTAAAAGTGACATCCTTTCTCTTTTAATTTCTACAAAATAACCTGGATGTCCAAGCTGATATCATAGAATACCACAATTATATGCGCTCCAATATAAACTTTCATGTGATGTATTAAGAATTGATGATTACATCCAAAAATGATGATGATTTGACTAGAAATTGAAAAGTGGGTGTGGGTGTGTGTTTTGTGTGTGTGTGTGGGGGGGGGGGGG